TAATCTGCAAATATTTTAACTTATCGCAGCAGCAGAAACACAGGAAGAATTAATAACAGTAATGATGGATCTGTTCTATTAAATTACTCCTGTGAAGCAGTACGTAATTTGCTGATATGCATGCGCCCATTAATTTTGCGCTGGCACACTCGTATTTTTCTTTTACTTTTACATGTTGTTAGAAGAAGTCCTGCTTATGTAAAAAAATGGAAACACTGACTCTAATGGTTCTGGTTTACTTGGGTCCAACATGGAACATTCTGTCATTGAACCGCCTGTATCTCTACAACTGTGCGGCGCCAACATTCCCGTTTGTTGGCTCAAGAGACAGGCTGGGTCCATAGATTAACTGTTGCTTCTTTCAGCTCAGATGTCACTTTGAGAATGGCAGGCTGTTAGTTATGTTACAGGCTTTGGATGTCTGGAGGCTCCCTATTTCGAAACATGACAAATGAATAACTATCAATAAAGTTGAAACCTCCTTTAGATAAGTCTACTAGATAGGTTTACTGCTGCACCACAGTGTGTATGAAGGAATAACACAACAAATGTCTGTAGGAATTGTTCAAAAAACTGTACACAAAAACAACTGTAATGTAGCATACAATGCAAAAATGAAAAGACATGGATCCCAACAAATCTTCTGAAAGATGATCAGTCTTCTCTCTGACTAGGTGGGGGCAAACCTTCTTTCTCAGGTTTTTTTCTGAGTCTTTAAGAACTTCCTCCAAGTCAGGAGTTTGCATTTCTGGAGGAATTAGAGACAGATTTTGGGTGAGTCAGTCATTTTCTACCACTTCTTCCATAGTGGGTCGCAGGGAAGCTGGTGACTATCTCCAGCAGTCTATGGGGTACACCCTGAACAGGTCGCCAGTCCATCGCAGGGCAACACAGACACACACAGGACAAAAAACCATGCACTCATTCACACCTAAGTGCAATTTAGAGAACCCATTTAACCTAAAAGTCAACTTTTTGGACCGTGGGAGGAAGTCAGAGTACCCAGAGAGAACCCAAGCATGCCCAAGCATGCATGGGAGGACATCCAAACTCCATGCAGAAAGACACCGGCCAGGAGTCAAACCCAGGACCTTCTTGCTGCAGGGCAACAGTGCAGACCACTGTGCCACCGTGTAGCCCCAGTTTTGAGGTAGCGTGAAAAATATGGATTCTATTAAGTTTTGATTAACACCTTCTTATACTTAGGCAAACCGCGTTAAGTATCAAAAAAGTCAGCAACCTATCACCTTAGTCATAATCTCATAATTGGAGCTGTTTTCTGTTTAAAGTTCAATACACATAATCAGTTGTTTGGATAAGATATTCACCTTTAAGATTCGACATAGTAAACACAAGCCTTAATTCTGGATTATTTTAAAGTTGGAGCTATTTCTTGTGGGTAGCATGTGAATTTCATTCAATTCAATTCCATTCAGTTTATTTATATAGCGCCAATTCACAACACATATCATCTCAAGGCACTTCACAAAAGTCAGGTACATACATTCCAATTAATCCTAACTATCGAACAGTGCAGTCAGATTCAGTTATTTATTCAAATTGTTTTTTCTATCTAAGGAAACCCAGCAGATTGGGGGGTGCTCTGTTGGCTCTGTCAGCTCTGCTCTGTTCGGGGGTGGATGGGCTTGTTGGTTGTGTGCCCTCCTTTATGTGGTGTATTCGTGTTGCACTCGGCAGGCTGGTCTGCCCTTTTATTTTCTGAGCGCTTCTGGCTGGCTTCCTCTTTGGTGGGAGTCGGTGGCTTCTTCGGGTGGGGGACTGGGAGTCGGGGCTAGGGATTGGGGTTTCAGGGCTTGGGTGGTTCAAGGGGGGCTGGGGGTATTGGTCCCAGTTTTCGGTCGGTTCGATAGGTAAAATTTTCAGGCAGCTTAGGTTAAATTCTCACTGTTATGCTGATGATCCTCAGCTTCATTTATCCATAAATCCTGATGAGCCCAACCAATTAGATAGACTACAGGCATGTCTTGAAGACATAACAGCTTGTATGACATTTCAATTTTCTGCTTCCAAATTCAGACAAGACAGAAGTTGTCGTCTTTAGACTGGAATCTTTGAAAAAGGAAGCTGCTTAGTCAATCAGTTAATGTGGATAGCATCAAATTGACCTCTGGCAATAAGGTAAAAAACCTTGGTGTTATTTTTTAACCAGGACATGTCATTTAAATCCCATATTAAACAAGTTTTTAGGATTCCTTCCTTTTACTGTCTATCTTTTCTATCAGGATGTCCACAAAATGCAGTTAAAAGCCTTAACCTGTTCCAAAATGCTGCAGCAAGAGTTCTGATGAAAATTAAAAAGAGAGGTAATTTTTCCTATTTTAGCTTCCCTTCACTGGTTCCCTGTTAAAACAGAATATAATGTAAAATTCTCCTTCTCATATATTAAGCCCTTAATGATCTAGCTCCATCATACATCAGAGATCTGATTGTTCCATATGTTCCTAACAGAGCACTTCGTTCTCAGGCTGCAGGTTTACTGGTGGTTCCTAGAGTCTCTAGAAGTAGAATGGGAGGTCCTTTAGTTATCAGGCTCCTCTCCTGTGGAACCAGTTTTAGTCCGTGAGGTAGACACCCTGTCTACTTTTAAGGCTAGGCTTAAAACTTTCCTTTTTGATAAAGCTTATAGTTAGAGTGGCTTAGGTTATCCTGAGCTATCTGTGTAGTTATGCTGCTATAGGCTTAGACTGCTGGAGGACGTAATGACCACTTTCACTCTCTCTGCTACATTCTCATACTACACTCCAATTTTGTGTTATTTGCTGTTATTCCAGCTTTTAACTCTATGTTCTCTCTCTGTTATTTTCTCTTTCTAGAAGCTACACCTGAACTGGCTCTGTGTTTATCTGTGGCAACTTCCTGGAGGGGGACATTGCCCAAGCTGATGCTGACAACAACTTAATGCTCACCCTCTATAGATGATACACTGTGCCCTCTCTTTCAGTGTTAATTCTGTCTCTCCTAGACATAGCTACTGACTCAGCTTCTACTGTAACTAACTGTATGTGCTCTTTTTCACACTCTAGACTTGAAAACTGGCTCAGAGTTTATCTGCTTAGCTGTCTTTCTCTCCTAGATGAAGCTTTATAAGGAACTGTAACCATTATTGTTTTACCTTTTCCCATAGAAAGTACTCCTAGATCACTGCTACTGTGTTTTCTTTTTGTGTCTTTACTCTGTTCTCTCAAACCCCCAGTCGGTCGTGGCAGATGGCCACTCACACTGAGCCTGATCCTGCTGGAGGTTTCTTCCTGTTAAAAGGGAATTTTCCTCTTCATTTTCGCTACATGCAGCTCAGTATGATGGATAGCTTCAAAATCAATGCAAGCGACTGCCTAGTGTCATTACATTCTCATCCAGGAGTAGTGAATGCTGCAAGTCACTGACTAGATGCAATTTGCTGGGTTTCTTTAGACAGAAAAACCTTTTAACCAATTTGAATGTTAAACTGAATCTGACTGCACTGTTTGATAAAATAATTTCAAATCTAAACTTCAAATCTAAAAATGTATTACCTTCCAGCCTGTAATTTAATTTTTTTCTTTTATTCTATTTATTCAGATTCAACCAGTTACCTTGAAAATTAGTGAAATGAAGTTCACTTGTGTGCAATTTAAGTGTCACATGATCTGTCACATTTACACATTTTCTGAAAGGCCCCAGAGGCTGAAACACCACTAAGCAAGAGGCATCACACCATGAAGACCAAGTAGCTCTTCAAACAAGTCAGGGAAATAGTTGTTGAGAAATACAACTCAGGGTGAAGTTATGAACAAATAAATACAAATCTTTGATGTTACCCTGGAGCATCATCAAATCCATCATTTTCAAATGCAAAGCACATGGTACCACAACAAACCTGCCAAGAGGGGGCTACCCATCAAAACTCACAGACTGCGCAAGGAGGGCATTAATCAGAGAGGCAGCAAAGAGACTAAAGGTAACCCTGAAGGAGTTGCAGAGTTCCACAGCACAATCTGGATTATCTGTATATAGGACCACAACACGCCATACATTCCTTAGAGCTGGGCTTTATGGAAGAGTGGCCAAAAAAAAGCCATTACTGGAAGTGTTGAAAATAAGAAGGCATGTTTTGAGTTTGCCAAAAGGCATGTGGGCAACTCCACAAATGTATGAATGGAAGGTGCTCTGGTCAGATTAGACTAAAATCGAACATTTCTGACACAAAGGAAAACACAATATTTGGAGCAAACCCAAAACATCCCATCATTTCAAGAACACTATCCCCAAAGTGAAACATGGTGGTGGCAGCATCATGCTATGCAGATGTTTTTTAGCAGCAGGAACTGGGAAAGTGGTCAGAGCTGAGGGAAAGATGAATGTTGCTAAAACCTTAAGGAAAACTTGTTTGTCTAGTTGTGATTTGAGACTGAGATGGAGGTTCACCTTCCAGTAGAACAATGACCTGAAGTAGCACTCGAATGGTTTAAGGGGAAACATTTAAATGTGTTGAAATAGCCTAGTCAAAGTCCCAATCTTAATCCAATTGAGAATCTGTGGTTAGACTTGAAGATCAATGATTACAAGAGGAAACCATCCAATGACGGAGCTGGAGCAGTTTTGCCCTAAGGAATGGGCAAAAATACCAGTGGCAAGATGTGGCAGCTGTAATTGTTACAAGATATGACTCTACAAATTATTGACTTTATGCTGTAGTTTTCTGTTATTTCATCCTATTTGTTGTCAGTCAGTCAGTCATTTTCTACTGCTTATTCCATAGTGGGTCGCGGGAGAGCTGGTGCCTATCTCCAGAAGTCTATGGGCGAGAGGCGGGGTACAACCTGGACAGGTCGCCAGTCCATCACAGGGCAACACACAAGCAACCATGCGCACACTCATTCATACACCTAAGGGCAGTTTAGAGTGACCAATTAACCTAACAGGCATGTCTTTGGACTGTGGGAGGAAGCTGAAGTGCCCGGTGAGAACCCACGCATGAACGGGGAGAACATGCAAACTCCATGCAGAAAGACCCCCGGCCGGGAATCGAACCCAGGACCTTCTTGCTGTACTACCAACTGCGCCACCTTGCAGCCCCCTATTTGTTGTTTGCTTGAAAAAAATAATACATCTTTAAAGTTGGAGACATGCTCTGTAAATGAAATGGTGCAAACTCTCAAACAATAATTTTAATTCTAAGTTGTGAGGCAACAAAATATGAAAAATGCCAAGGAGGGTGGATACTTTTGCAAGTATGTGTACTTTGTAGGCGTGATGGGTTTTTTGGTGTATTAGAAAATGCTCATCCTTTTTTCACTACATTCAGATCCACATAAAACACGTTTTAAATATGCCAACATGCATGGCAAGAAGAGAAATTATGACAGCAAGTGGAACACCCAGAAGAGAAAATGTTTTCTTTTCTTTTTCACTCATTACTATTTGTCCAATGCCCTAGGAGTCACAGCCCTAGTTATTATAATGTAAATCTAGAAGGTGCGAAGCAGCAGTAATGAGACACCAAAGCGTCCTTAATGAACACCCTTGAACATATGAGATAGGCAAAGGGCATCAAAGAAATGCAAAGTGGGATGCAAAACAACAAAACAACCGCAGAATGATGCATTACAATGAAAATGAGATAAGAAGTGACTAAAATAGAGCAGAGCTGTAATAACAAGATTCAAAGTTACCTCGGAGATAAAAATCTCACTATTTGTGAGATGACAAAACATACAATACAACGAGCTCAAATAGTGTGACAGTATTTGGTTGCAGTACGGTGAGTAGGTGGACTTTTACATGTCTGTTCACCATTTCCTGTGTGCATACATTATTGTATGCATTGGGTTTACTTACATACGTGTTATTAAATCCCATCTGTAAATGTTAAACATGTAGAAATAATATGTTAGATAGTAAGATTTAATGCCAATTCTTGATCTTTGTGTCTGTTCCTCTGTCTTCAGACACTTTCTTTAATCTTTTTTTCCTTACTTCACTCTACAACATCCACGTCCTTCTGAACATATATACATTTTTATGGTCTTCTAGACCATATTTTTCTCTTTCTTATTTCCACTTGTAAAATGTAAATGGTCACCTTTGTTATTGACTATTTTTCCTTGTTTCCGTCCCTCTCCAGGTCTGACCTGCTGGGAAACGTTTCTCCTCTGAGGGATGAGGAGTAATTACACATCGATGAATCTGTGGACCTGCACCTGACCCGATTTTATTGTTCCTGCTGCAGTGAGACAGGTGCTCTATTCCACAAGGAACCTGAAGCCAACATATTTTTTGTATCTTCTGTTTTTTACTTTTTGGCAATCGATGCCAACCTGAAAGGATTGACCTTCAGCATCACCCCATCTGTTCATATGACCTCCTGTGTGCTCCCCAAGGTGGCTGTTGTAAAGAGGCAGCGATGATATCAGAGAACTTCTCATTTGTCTTTTTATCCAACTCAGTACGAGGGTAACCCCCCCCCCCCACCTAGGCGCTTCAAAGACACATCAAGACGTGTTCTGAGGAAGCATGGGAGACATGAGCTGGGTGTGTCTGAGCCCGTCGGAGTTCAACCAGCTGCAGCAGTACAGCGAGTGTAAGTCTCAGTCTATACTTTGGTTAATAATTTAATGTGGAGTTTTTCAATTTGAAGCACTGACACTGTGTGGATGTACATGTGTATTAATTAATACATGATCTTAATTTCCACAGTTTTTATTTCAATGGTGTGATATAAGAACATGAATCAAAACCTTAACCAGGTCCTTAAAAGCAAACATTAACCACAGTTATATCAATAATACGACATACACATACCGATCACTTTATTAGTTACACTTTGCTATTACCAGCCTGGGCTCCCTTTTGTCTTCAGAACTGCCTCTATTGTGGGCAAACAATCAACAAAATTTCTCAGAGATGTGGTCCGTATTGATTTGAGAGCATCACACAGTTGCTGCAGATTTCTCCATGATTCTCCAGTTGAACCACCTCCCAAGGGTGTTCTAATGGACTGAGATCTAGGTACAGTAGAGGCCGTTGTTGTACAGTGAACTCACCAAAATGTTCAAGAAATCATGTTGAAGATGATCTGAGCTTTGTGACATGGTGCAATGGGCACTAAGGGTTTGATGGCTGGATGGCTGGTGGCTGGTAGGAGGTGTTTGTGTTAGTATGCTGTGTTTGATTTCACCAAATACAAACATTCATGGTGTTCATAATTATATAACCTGTCCGAGTGTCCCTGACTTGTCACACTGGAAGGAGATTATGTATCGTTTTATGATGGAATTTCTGACAATTTTATTTGTTTTAACAGCTTATCTGCTAAAGTGAGAAACCCAGAAGTTTTTTTTGTTTTTTTTTTATTCAGCACGATTTCTTTGTTGTTTCACACGTTGTCACGTTGTCACATGTCTATGTTTTTGTTGTGTATTCAAACAAGTTAAAAACAATCCTCAGCATGTAAAGTACACATGCTGATAAGAGAAACATCTGTTTCTTTCCCCCACTAATCCTAGATTTTCTGCTTGGATATGTCTACTGCACCTGTGTTGACGTATGAATTAAGCCCTTTCAGGTTCTGATTACATACACGTATTTTGAATTGGAGCACGCCTCAAAACACCACTTATTAGCCTGCTGGATGAGTCCTGTGGCTTTCTCTATCTATGCTGTTTCCAACATTTGTTAGTCAAAACAGCATCTCTCCATGTGCTGCTGATGGATGATAAACAGTCACGCAAGCTTCCTTCTGAAGAATTACATCATCGTGGACAATTTCGGTTTTACAGGGTTAAAAAAACAAAATATTAGATTACAATGCCTTGAAGCATTCATACACCTTGAACCTTTCCACATTTTGTCACATTACAACCACAAAAAAAATCAATGTATCTTACTTGGATTTTTATGTCACAGATAAAGTACTGCAGAACTGTGAAATGGAAAGAAACATGGATTTAATTTTTTTTGCAAATAAAAACCTAAAAATTGCGACTTGCTGTTGTATTGAGTATATACTGTATATTTTTTTGCTTTATTAGTCAATTTAAAGTCAGTTTATCAGGCAGTCAACGTACAGCACCAGCCAGTATAGATAAATGTTTTTCCCTATTCTTCTTTGCAAAGCGGTTCAATCTTAAACAGATAAAAATTAAAATACAGACACTATTTATTCAAATCTCGGCACATTTTACAATTGGATTTAGGTCTGGACTTTGACTGGGCCATTCCAACACATTAATATGCTCTGATCCATTCTGCCTGTATGTTTAGGGCCCCACACTTAAGTCTTTTGCAGCCTCTTAACAGATTTCTTTCTAGACATGGACCTAGCATGGAATGCCATCATCTGATCATCTTAAAATATATATATAATCAGTACTGTGCAAAAGTTTTAGGCAGGTGTGAAAAAATGCATTAGACAAAGAATGCTTTCAAAAATGGAAGTGTTAATCATTTATTTTAATCAATCAACAAAAATCTGAAAGCATTCTTTATTTACAGCATTTTTTCACACCTGCCTAAAACTTTTGCACAGTACTGTATGTCTGTAAAAATAGTGCTGTGATCCAAGACACATTTTAGAATAATTGTGACAATGAAGCAATATTGTATTGTATTATATTGTAAGATTGCCCTGTGTATTCAGCTCTATCCGTTTTCCCATCTCTCATGACCAGCTTCCCTGGCCCTCTCCAAAGGATAATTCTGTCACCACTGTGTTTCTGTTCAAGCTAATGAGCATTGTCAGTTTTTTCTTCAAAAATTAAATTTTCAGGTAGTTTAAAAAGGTACAATGTTTTCTAATCCAAACAGAGCAGCTTCTTTCCCAGTTTTGCTGTGTCTAATGCAAGACTTTTATGGCTTTCTTTCAACAATGGCTTTCTTCTTGCCATCTTTCTCTGAACAGTTGTGCATTGCACTGTATTAATGAAGCAGCATTACAGTAAACAGCCTGAATAAATAAGTCCGTCTCACTTCTCAGATTTTTGCTTTTTTTGTTTTAATTTCCCTTCTAGGAAACCAAGGCTTCAATTCTCACAGCCTCATTTGTTCTGAAAAAGTTGAAAGCCATATGTCTTTTACTTTCCATATCACAATTATGTATGGCTACTTGTAGACCCTATCGATAAATTGACCCTGGACATCAACAACAATGCAGATATCAAAGCAACAAAAAATTTTACTAAATTAGAAAACTTTATAAGAAATACAGAAAGAAGAAAGCAGGCTGCAAATACCCATGTTTGGTATGTGTGTTAGATACAGCAAATTACTGTATCTATATTTCACATTTTTGAAACTGCTAAACAACTCACAGCCCTCACTACCCACATGAAAAGGAACAATATTACCAGGAGATCATCAGATGTTCCTTCCTACTTCGGTTTGAAAATGTAAAATGACATTCATAAAGAGGCCACAAGAAAGGGCCCATGTGTATACTTTATTGCTTTGCAATTGTTTGACACATGATAATAAGGGGAGGCTAATGTGATTAATGTTTTGGACAGACTCTGTGTGTTTATGTCTGAGTGACTGTAGGATTAGCATGTTTAAGTGAGAGGGACACAATGTCTCCTCTGTCCAACCACAAGGGTGACTCAGCAATTTGCCTCATCTGATGTTCCTGTTACAGAGGAGTTTTTATTGGGGGACTCATTAAAGACATGCATCTTCACCCAGTTTTATTCAAAGACCACTCTGATTAAGATGATAAGCTCTGTTGTGCTGTGAAGGGAAAAATAATAAGCTTTTCTCTGCTTTCGTCCTCAGACTCCACAAAGAAGCTGAAGGATGTTCTGGAGGAGTTTCATGGTGGAGGAGTTCTTTCCAAATACAATCCAGAGCAGGTGTGTCTCCACTACCTGTCGGTACATATTTTCTTATACTGACAAAAAAAACAAACTATTTCTTCTACGTTTAAATGTCTCATCTTTGGTGGTCCCTTATACAATCCAAACAGGCAGGTTTATGTCGTAGGACACGTAAACTTTGAAGGCATTGTTTGTTCTTTAAGCATTTCTCTCTTTGATTCTGTCAACAAAGAGAATTAGTTGTTGTCAAACCAGGTGCCCTTTTA